CGAAAAGATGTTGCTAGTTTTTTCAAAATGCTAATTTCAGTGAGATAAGTGCGTTGGAACTTTAAAATCTGTCGTTCACCACATGACTCAATTTCTGATGCTGTTTGTAATAAACTGCTTAATTCATTATGATAAGCACATTCATACACCAAAATTTTTCTTTCACCAATTGACAGAAAATTTGATACTGGTTTGATTAAAGTGCTTATTTCATTGAGATCAGCATACTAGTAAATCAAATTGTCAATTTCATCAAACGATTCAAAAATTGATGCTAATTTAATTAAAGTGCTAATTGCAGTGAGTTCAGTACATAGATACATCTAAATCTGACTTTCAGCAAATGGCTGAAAAGATGATGCTAGTCTGTTTAAAATGCTTATTTCAGTGAGATATGCACGTTTATAGATGACAACCTGACTTTCACCAAATGACACTAAAGTTGATGTTGTTGATACTAAAATGCTTATTTCAGTGAGGCAAGCTCATTTTTAAACCAAAATCTCACTACAACAAAATGACTCAAAAGTTGATGGTAGTTTCAATAAAATGCTTATTTCAGTGAGATACGCACATTTGTATATCAAAATACTTATTTCAGTCAGATAAGCACAGTTGTACATCAAAATGTCATCTTCACCAAATGAGTCAAAAAAGTGGTGCAGCGTGGACTAAATGCTTATTCAGTGAGATATGCACGTTTATTCATCAAAATCTGTTTTTCACCAAATGACTCTTCAGGGGATGTTGGTGATACTAAAATGCTTATTTCAGTGAGGGAAGCTCATTTTTAAATCAAAGTCTCACTTCTACAATTTACTCAAAAGTTGATATTACCAAAATGCTTATTTCAGTGAGGCAAGCTCATAGTTACATCAAAATCTAACTTTCTCCAAATGCCTCAAGAGTTGATGCTGGTTGTATGAAAATGCTTATTTCAGTGAGATAAGCACATTTGTACACCAAAACTTTTCTTTCACCAATTGACTGTAAAGTTGATGCTAGTTTGATTAAAATGCTTATTTCATTGAGATCAGCACAGCAGTAAATCAAAATGTCAATTTCACCAAACGATTCAAAAATTAATGCTAATTTAATTAAATTGTTTATTTCAGTGAGTTCAGTACATATCTACATCAATATCTGACTTTCACCAGTTGACTGAAAAGTTGATGCTGGTTTGTTTAAAATGTTTATTTCAGTGAGATATGCACGAGTATTCATCAAAATCTGTTTTTCACCAAAAGACTCTTAAGGTGATGATGGTGATACTAAAATGCTTATTTCAGTGAGGCAAGCTCAGCTTTAAATCAAATTCTCATTTTGACAAAATGACTCAAAAATTGCTACTGGTTGTACTAAAATGCTTATTTCAGTGAGATATGCACATTTGTACATCAAAAATGCTTAATTCATTGAGATTAGCGCAGTTGTACATCAAAATCTCTCTTTCACCAAATGACACAAACGTTGATGCTGGTTGGACTAAAATGCTTATTTCAGTGAGATAACTATTTTGGAACTACAAAATATCACTTTCACCAAATGGCTCAATTTAAAGTGCTGGTTGTACTAACCTGCTTAATTCATTGATATAAGCACATTTGTATATCAAAATCTCTTATTCACTAAAATGCTTGTTTCAGTGAGATAAGTACTTTGGAACGTTAGAATCTCTCGTTCACCAAATGACACAATTTCTGATGCTGGTTGTACGAAACTGCTTAATTCATTGAGATTAGCACATTTGTACATCAAAATCTCGTATTCGCCAAATGACTCAAACGTTAACGCTGGTTGAACAGAACTGCTTATTCCAGTGAGGTAAGCACATGCGTTCACCAAAACTTCTCTTTCACCAATTTACTGAAAAGTTCATGCTGGTTTGTTTAAAATGCTTATTTCAGTGAGATATGCACGTTTATACATCAAAATATGAATTTCACCAAGTGACTCATAAGTTGATGTTGGTGATACTAAAATGCTTATTTCTGTGAGGAAAGCTCATTTTTACATCAAAATCTCACTTCCACAAAATGACACAAAACTTAATGCTGGTTAAACAAAAATGCTTATTTCAGTGATATAAGCACAATTGCACATCAAAATGTCGCCGTCACTAAATGACTCAAAAAGGTGATGCTTGTTGCGTGAAATTGCTTATTTGAGTGAGATAAGCACATTTTTACATCAAAATCTCACTTTCCCCCAATGAATCAAAAGTTGATGCGCATTGTACTTAAATGCTTATTTCAGTGAATTACGCACGTGAATATCTCACTGAAATATGCGTATCTCACTGAAGTAAGCATTTTAGTACAACCAGCATCAACGTTTGAATCATTTGGTGAATTTGAGATTTTGATGTACAGATGTGCTTATCTCAATGAATTAAGCAGTTTTGTACAACGAGAATCAGATATTGTGTCTTTTGCTGAATCTGAGATTTTAAAGTTCCAAAATGCTTATCTCACTCAAATAAGCATTTTAGTAAAAGCAGCGTCACCTTTTTGAGTCATTAGTTGAAGATGACATTTTGATGTACAAATGTGCTTATCTCAATGGATTAAGCAGTTTAGTGCAACAAGCATCAGAAATTGTGTCATTTGGTGCATGTGAGATTTTGAAGTTCTAAAATGCCTACCTCACTGAAATAAGCATTTTAGTGCAACCAGCATCACCCTTTTCAGTCATTTGGTGAAGGTGACATTTTGATGAACAAATGTGCTTCTCTCAATGAATTAAGCAGTTTTGTACAAGGAGCATCAGAAATTGTGGCATTTGGTGAATCTGACATTATGGAGTTCCAAAATGCTTCTCTAACTCACGTATGCATTTTACTAAAAGCAGCGTCTCCTCTTTCAGTCATTTGGTGAAGGTGACATTTTGATGTACGAATGTGCCTATCTCCGTGAAATAAGCATTTTAGTACCACCAGCATCACCTTTTTGAGTCATTTGTTGAAGGTGACATTTTGATGTACGAATGTGCTTTTCTCCCTGAAATAAGCATTTTAGAACCACCAACGTCAATTTATGAGTCATTTGGTGGAAGTC